TTATGAATAGTATTATGCTTTATAATTTTATTTTAATAATAATGTGGATTCTTGATTGATTTCAATCTTATTACACAAATGTATGATTTAATTGATAAAAAATTATTATGATAGTATAAATGGTCTATTATATTAGTATACTTATTGCATAAGTGTATTTCTTTAAAAATATCAAATTGTATTGTCTAAAGGGAGATTACAGAAGTATATTTTCATATTTTCTTACGAAGGTGATTCTCCTAACTAATTCATGATAAAATGAGAATGCGACACACTTGTGAATAGATGAAGTGTAAAATAAATTGTGTACGGAAATATACTTTCAAAGTTTTGAGTAGTAATTTTGGATTTTTATAGAGTGACTTTTCACGATTAAGAGTGGGAGGAGCAACCCCTACAAAAAAAAAAGAGGATTTCTTATTGCACCCCATGTGTTTCTTAGACACCATGCATATTTTCAAAAATACCCCCCGTTTTCAAAGATATATCTCCGGACGCACTCTAATACACACATTTCATTCGTTTTGAGTTACACCTCATTTTTTATAAATAAATTTATTTCGAAAATATATCTCCGAAAATATATTTCCAGAAGCAACAAATGTGCATCTGTAATGAGCAATGTAGCTGGGGTTATGGCACCATGGCACTTAGATGCGGGAAAAATGGATACCATCAAATCTTGTTTCTGATTCTAGTATAATAAAAATGTTAAAATTAAACAATATTCTAACAAAGCTCTTTTTTTCTATCATCCAATAACATTGCAATATTAGTTCATGCTTCAAGTAACTAAATATTAGTATGCAAAAGAAAGTGTTTCATTAAAAAATTTAGTTATCAAAATGAGCACAAATGGAAAGAGTGGATTAGTGATATTCCTTACAATTTTACTTTTCATTGAGAAAAGAACCTTAAATCCTACCAAGATCTACGTGCCATGGTGCCATAACCCCAACTACATTCCTCATTCTAGAAGGTAGTGATGCACATTTGTTGCTTCCAAAAATATATTTTCGAAAAATTTCTGAAGATATATTTTTGGAATAAATTTATTCATAAAATTTGAGGTGTAATTCACAAATGAATGAAATGAGTGTATTAGGGTGCGTCTAGATATATATTTTTGGAAACTGAGGGTATTTTTGGAAATCTCCATGGTGTCTAAGAAACACATGAGGTGCAATAAGAAACCCTAAAAGAAAGAGAATTTCTTAAGGCACCCTATGAGCTTCTTAGACACCATGCAGATTTTCTATAATGCCCATAGATTCCGGAGATATATCTCTGGATGTACCATAATTTAACTAAACATTAAGATATTCTGGAGATATATCTCCGGACGCACCAAAGCTCAATTGAACGTTGAAATATTACATATATATATATATATATATATATATATATATATATATATATATATATATATATATATATATATATATATATATATATATATATATATATATATATATATATATATATATATATATATATATATATATATATATATATATATATATATATATATATATATATATATATATATATATATATATATATATATATATATATATATATATATATATATATATATATATATATATATATATGAAACAATTTGGAGCATATTATCGTGTCAGACTCTTATCCTCCCACACTTTTTTATTTCCATTGACAAACCTCTTCATCTTTCACATTCTCAAATTTCTCAAACTTCACCAAATTTGATTTTTTATGTCTGAGGCTCAAGTAATCATCAAGTTGCATCTAGTGCATTATTCAACATCTTCTGAATCATATAATTTGGGTAAGTCTTTCGAGTTTCCGATAAATATTTGAGTTTTATTGTAAACAAGTTAAAAAAGTAACTACATGTATTGTTTGTTGGCTCAAATAGACGATCAGAGCTTCAAATTTATCATTCTAAAGGGAAGAGGACACCGTTATCGCGACCTTTGAGTTGGAGAATGTTCTGGAGATACATCTCCAAAAAAATTCAATGTTTCATGAACTCTGGGTGATTCTGCAGATACATCTGCAAAATGTTTTCGTAGTTGTATCTCTGAAATCACCTAGAGGACATGAAACATTAAATTTTTTTGGAGATATATATCTGGAATTTTCTCAGCCTGTTTTTTGTTTTAATTTTTCTTATTGCGTAAACTCATTGTACAACTAATTATATTATACCTTACAGACATAATGGTTGACAAAGCCGATCGATTGAGGAATGGACAGGTTGCCTAGCATACATCCATTAGACGAGAGCGGAGCCAGCTGGGTCCGGATGCAGCAGGTACCTCTGGTCAAAGAGACATGTCAATTGCTGGTGTAAAGTCTACTCTTGAGGCTCAGTCCACTCCTAGGATTCAGCCTTCACCTCAGACCACTTCATCTACATCAGATGTCACTCCAGCTACATCTTAGGTCACTCCATCTATATCTCAGTCCACTCCACCTTCTTCATCTTTTTCCCGCAGACCACGTGATGCACCAGCTGACGCGTCACTTCCCTCATCCTTCCGCAGGCCGCAGGATACACCTGTGCCACCTCTTGTTGGTCTGCTACTACCTTTTGTTGATCTGGTTGCACTTGCTGATCGGGATGCACCAGTGCCACCTCCAGAGGGTGATGTTGTTGATGTCGAGCCAGAGGCTTTTGAAAGAGTTTCATTTGATATATTCCTACTTCCTCTGTACCCAGACCATATTTCCAAACATATTTGGGAGGGAGAGGTAACATTAGTCACATTGTTACTATATCTTTTTAGAATTAATTTAAATTGTTGACATTGATTATTTATAACATTGATTCTTATAGACACTAATTATTTTTGGAAATTCACAGGTGCGTGACCCCTATAAGTTTCTGAACCATGGGCGTAAGATTTTAGCATTGCATCAACCTGACGAGGAGTGGTTTCAGTTGGTTATAACCGCTTCTTGGTTGAGTGACCTATGCTTAATTGTTTACACTCTGGTCAACCACGGGATGCTTAATGCATTTTTAGAGCGATGGCACTCTGAGACCTCTTCCTTTTATCTCCCGCTTGGTGAGATGCCGATTACACTAGACGATGTCTCGTGTTTGTTGCATCTACCGGTCAGAGGGAGATTCCTCTCTCATGGTAAGATGACCAAAGACGAGGCAGTCAATATGATGGTGGAGCATCTAGGGGCTGATCCAGGGAAGGCGATAAAGGAGGTGGATAAGACCATGGGTGCTCATGTTAGGTTTTTGTTCTTGAAGGAAAGATTTGATCAGACGCTCATTACTGCAATGCAGGCTGATGGTGATGCCCAGAAGGTGGTCATACACATGACTCATGCTTTGAGGTGTTATTTTCAATTTTTATTTGGCACTGTGCTTTTTGTGGACACGAGTGCCACCTACACTGACGTTGCATACCTCTGGTACTTCTTGGATCTCACATGGATTAATGAGTACAACTGGGGGTTGACTTGCCTTGCATATCTATATTCAAAGCTGAGATATGGATGACGAAGCAGACCACAGGCAACACGACCCTACTGGTGGTAATAATTTTTAATCCTTGAATATTTTTTTATCTTTTTCATTTCATATTTGTAATAATTCTTGATCCTTGAATGCTTTTTATTTTCATTTCAGGCTTGAATCCTCTTGCACTTCTCGCACATCGTTGGCTGGTCGTGTTGGGATGAGTACACTGAAGAGATTCCCCGTGCCTATGCTTTTATTCCACTGATAGGGAACCAGGTGGGCGAGCCTTTCAAAGTCTATCTTGACCGCTTGGCTGCCAAGGACATCCACTTCAACTGCTAAGTGGATCCCTGTCAGACGCGGCCATTTTACGACATATCATTATACTCTGGATGACTGCCCTGCGGATCGAGTATCACTGCTCCTCATTTGCCCGAGCGCGTCATACGGCAGTTCAGATACACCCAGACCATGCCCAGACACCCTGTTGTCTCTACAGCTCCGGCCTTGACTCGTATACAGCTAAAGGATATGTTTGTTGATTATCAGAGTCATCTGGTACCGAATGAGGCTCGGGCTACCATAGCACCAAATTTCTAGAGCTACGTCAACGGATACATCATGTGGTTCTTCAGGGTCTCACGTTTGTACATGGTGCCGACTGCTCTAGGAGATCCCCTAAGAATCGTTCATCAGGAGATTCTAGAGGAGCAGCAGGCTCAGATGGATCATACTGAGAATGTCTTGCCTCGTTGTCGTCGCATACTAGAGATGGTGTGGGCAAGCATTGACGAGGGTATCTTCCCTGAGGGGTCTGCTGTCAGGTGAGTACTGGATGACATTATTGCAGAGGCACATATAGCACTTTTGTACCACATACATCGTGCGAGGATAGGGGATCGATGGCCGAGGAGGCAAATCAGGCAGATGAGGCACAGGAGACAGAAGAGAGGTTGTCAAGCACACCCAGTAGTTGTCTGTATTTATTTTGTTTCATTACTATAGTTTATATGTTTTTCCTGACATTATTACTACATTTTGGATTTATGTGACATAAGACATCCTATTACTATATTGTTATGTTATTTTGGTTTGTTTGTTATTTTATAATTCAACTGCGAACAAATACATAATGCGTTTATAAAAATAAAAATAAAAACTTGTTCTGAAACACTTCGGAGATGTATCTCCGAAAATTTTCCGTAGATACATCTCCAGAAAAACTCAAATGGAAATGGGCTATAGAAAATATGTTGTAACCGTTTAAGGTTTAAATTGTCTCGAAAATATATTTCAAAATCTTGATGCATTTATGAAAAACCACACAGTGAAAAAGAAATTTATGAGTGCCTTAAGAAATTCTTTAAAAAAAAAACTAAAATAAATGTCTACCAAAAGCCCAAATATAAGTGGGCCTAACCACTAGAACTCAAGTCTGAAATGAAATGTGAACGAATCAAAGAAAGCAAGACGACGAAAACAGACCAGAGAAATCCAACACCGCTTCTCGTTTCTTACACTATTAACACTAACAATGCAAACTCTTCTACCGCCGGCATCATGCGCCGGCAGGTTCACGGCGGTTCCACTCTCAGCCTCATCCATTTCCGTCCCACGTATTCACCGAAGACTTCCCATCCCGAATTCCTCGCCCTCACTCCCTCTCAAGCTTACCGCTTCTTCTCCCTTTTTCAGTTCCTTCATTTCTCACCGACCATGGAAGCTTCCCTTCACCGTAACCGCTTCTTCCCAACCCTCTCCACCTTTCACTCCTTCAAACGAAGAATCAGACAAAGCAAAACTCGATCAGGTACATACTCTCTCTCTTTAACCTATCACTGAATGTGAATTTTCTGAATTCCCTGTGCATCTTCATTTACTCGTTTGTTAAATTGAGTTCAATTTCTAGGGTTTGAGTTGGTGCAATTTACAATGTAGCGTTACAATTGAGGTTTTGTTGCTGTGCAGGTGTCCAAGAGATTGGAGAAAACGGCGAGGCATTTTAAGCGTCTAGGTAGCTTAGGGTTTTGGGGTCAGCTAGTGTGCACCATTGTATCAGCTGTCATACTGTCGTTTTCGGTAATCGTTACCGGAAAAGTCACTTCGCCGGCAACATTTTATGCGACAGCCGGTGGAATAGCGGCTGCATTCATTTCAGTGTTTTGGTCCTTTGGCTATATCCGGCTCTCCGAGAGGCTTCGCAGGACTGCAAACGATCCTACCAAGGTTTTTTATTTGGTTCTTTGTTTAAATTCGAATAATTGAATTTGCTTAGGAACGTGAATGGTGTTAATTGTTATAACTTGTAACTGTTTCAATCAAATTTATGTGAAATCACTGTGCGTATGTAACATTGAAGACTAATTTAGGGATGTTTAGATTGATGTATTTGAGCTTATTTATTGATATAAGCAATTGTGAGACTGATTGAGATAGCTTATGGAAATAATTTATGGCATGTCCTTAAGCTTTTGTCATCTTATTTGCATAAACTCTCTAAGATAGTTTATAAAAATAGCTTATAGCTTATATAAACCAAGTTGAGTTTGTTTTATCTTTTGTTATAGAAATACCTTATTTGTAAACACTTATATGATTCGAAGTGTTGAATTATATGGTTTATCCAAATAGGACCTTAGTAATTATTAATGGTGTGGAACTGTGGATGTAGGTTGAGCTTTTAGTTGTTGTTTCAGGCACCCCCTCGATCTGATGTTGTGAAAAGCTTACAAAATGGTATAGTATTGAACCTTTTGGGGATGGGTGCTGCTATTCTCGGTATGCAAGCCACGGTTGGATTCTTGGTTGCAAAGGCTCTAACTTCCTCTGCCAACCCATATTATCAGGGGATCGCTCCTGGTTCAAGCCCTGTTCTTGCGTTAGATGTCTTTTTGGTGCAGGTAACACTTATTGGTTGTTCAATATAAAGTAAAGTTGCCTCCTAAACAGGAAATTTGAGTTACTTATCAACATTGCTCTCAACTGTTCTCTTTCCTGTGTTTTGCAAGCTTTGGCCCTCTTTGATAATAACGCAATTAAACATGTTTTCATTCTCCGGTAGAAAAACTTTGTATGAGGTCATCATTTTGCCATTATGGATAACAACTCTATCTATATGTTTTTCTGGAATTAGCAATTGTCGATGTTCTTCATTTAAAGTTATAAAATAATAAATTAGGGGAATGATTAGACTATTGTTATTTGGGGGTGAAGTTGGGATTGATGAAGCCGAACTTGACAATTGCAATGAGAGCACAATTAACTGAATTCCCTTAATGCAAATAACTTCTCACTTAGCTATGTAGTATTAGATACATATTACTCTATTTTAAGGTATGAATGAAATGCAAATGATTTCCATCTTTTAAGGTATTAATGAAATGCAAATGATTTCCATCAATAGAAAAAAACTGGTGTTTGGTTTATTTTAAGTTTTCAGTTGCTGATAAGTTTTCACATGATAAGAAAAATGCTATCTACTTTTATTTTTACTACTGTGTTCAAGATTTTCTAATGGTGAGAATGACAGAATCTTGTTTCCAATGCTTTTCTCAAATCACAAAACAAGAAAATAGAACACAAACATAGTGATATTTTTGTTGTTATTAGTGAGAACAAATCAAATTGAAAGTGAATACTTCATCAACAACAAACTAATGTGATGGATACAATATCTATGGTGCCAGGCTTCAAGTATTAACTTTAGTATAATTCTTTGTTTTACAGGCTTCGGCAAACACAATTCTCTCTCATTTCCTTGGGCTTCTTTTCTCACTGGAATTGTTGAGATCGGTCACATTGCCGCCTTCAGAAGCTCTTCCATTTCTCAAGTTTGCATAAGGTGTGCCTCAAGTTTGGTAGAATGATTTCACACACATAAAAATTTGTTTCTAGTGATTGTTTTCTAAATGAATTGTGTTGAGTCTTGATGCAGCATTTTAAGGCCCTCTTTGTCGCTGGTTGACATCTTATATTTCCAAATTGAAACGAACCTGTTCAATGTTGTTAATAAGCGTGAATCATGATAGCTCCTCAACAATTCAAGATCCATGAGCAGATAGATTATCACAGTAGATCACCACACTGTTGACAGTTTGGGAATGTTTGAGTTTTAACCTTGTCATCCTCATAACTGGTCCACAGTAATTGTAAGAATAGGGAACTTTCAAATTGCAACTTTGAAGCTGTTGTATATTAGACCTGTCATGCAATATCATAGTTTTTTAAACTCAAAATTACATGTCTGTCTGTTTAATAAGAGATTGTGCAGGATTGGTTTTGGTTCTCTTGCAGGATTCATAGGCTAATGGGTTTATAAGCGGATATTTAATCGATCTTTGCAAAACTCAGGATTAGAAGCTATTTTTAATGTATTTAAAAGTTGCACAACTGCAATACGTAGAAAGTATGGATTTAACATGATTATTTCTTTAAAAATTGTTGGAAATTTAGGTGTAAAAAGAGTGTACATGTTTCTAATGTAAATTAAAGCATGTCCTGATTGTGAAGCCATAACCTAATTCAATGGAAATTTGTACTTTTATAGTAATCAAAAATATTTTGGAGCAGAGTACCACTGCTTGACATTATCAGACAGAGGAAATACGTGGGGAAATGAAAAAACTTGTAAGTTGTAGCCATAAGTGCAAATCGCAAATTTGTATGTTTGATTTGTGTGACAAACGCATGTTCAACAGATTTACTCATATTTGTAGTTTACAAAAATTAACTTTTTTGATTTATTACTAAATCAATTCTAACTTCAAATTTCAATTGATATAAAAGTAAAATACCCACTCTGATAAAAAACAGGAAAAGATTTAAATTAAAAAAATCATAAATAAGCCATTGTTGTAGTTGAGAGAAGCATATAGAGCCAAACAAAAGAAAAAATAGATCAAAAGAGAAATTAATTATTTGAAATTGCTCGAATAAAAAAAAGTTGGTTATAATGATATGGTGGTGATCTATAAGTACATCTTTCTTCTCATAACAAAACAGAAAGACGAGAAGAAAGAGAAAAGAGGATATGGTTTCTATTAGAATAATAAATAATAAAAATATGTAGAATATAAATTACAATAGAATAAAAATATTATATATTAGAAAATACCACATTGTCTTTATTAGGATACAATAAATATAATAACATCAAAATAATATTATTCATCGTATTTCTTCAAACTCACAAACTCACGACGCATTAATAAGAAGCAATTGGTATTTGTCAACGAAGAAGCAAAAAATATTTAGTGGAATGGTCTTCATAAACAAATAAACTATTTTCAAGGAGAAGGATCTAGACATGTTCTATGCTAAGATGATGGCGAGTAAATCGACAATCAATTTTAATTTCCTTTGTGAGTTCATGAAATATTATATTGTTATCACAATATAATACAAGAGAGTTTATTAAAAAAAAAAAGACATTCGTATAAAAAAGTAATCAACAAATGCAAACTATTTAAGTAGTGGTGGTGTTAGCTAAGAAATTCTGACATGCAGATTTGATGAAAAAACCAGCTAGAATTTCTGCAAAAACACGAGGCAAGGTTAGAAACCTTTTGATCAAAGACTTTAGAGGTAAAACTTCAGCGTTCAACATCAAAAGATGAGGTCTGGTACTTAGTGAAATTTTTAAAGGAATTTGGTCACTCAACAATTGGACAAGTCGAGAAAGGCTCGACTAATGCATATTCAAATTTCAAACCAGATAACCATCTTTTAGTCTTATCCAAAAATGCCAAAGACACGTGGAGGTCAATCGATGATAGACGAAGCATGCAGAAATGACGTGGCGGTTATAGGACATTTGATCATTGAAGACCGTTAGTTTTTGTAGTATTATAAATAAGGATTCTAGTGTTAGGATTTGGGGTGGCAAAGTCATTGTAAACTTCAACATACACTAAAAATACTCATACGCAAGCAAGAAACGAGTTTTCTGAAGAAATATACTTGCCTACAACTTTTTACTTATGCAAATAAAGTTCATTTCCATTTAATTTACTTCTACTTATTTTATTTACTATTCAAGTCACAAATTTTGACCTAGTCAAAATCAGTTGTCATATTTACTTTCAAACTAAATCATTGTTATAGAGGTCAATATTCAATGCAAATGTTTCGACAACATTAATGCACACTTTCTTTTCCCAAAAATTTAGCACAAACTTGCCCCAGGATTTACTAGTTTGGTCCTTCAAGCAATAAATTTAAAACTAAGTGATTGTTTATCAAAAACATCGGTGAAGAAATTGGCACCCAGTGGGACATATTTGTGCAACTTTTGAATCATTTCTAGAAAGCGTTTGCATTTTGTTTGTTCTATTCTGAATTTTTATTGCATTTAATGATGTTATCTGCATATGTATTTTTATGCGCTTGAGGAGTGGTAAAACTTTAGTTGAAATGGTTCACCCTAAGAATACCTTGCTTCCCCAAAATAACACTTCAGATACTGAACAACTGGTCGCATCGACAGTTGAAGCCACAGAGAATACAAATCCCATAGGGACCAATGAACCTATCCTCAACCCAGTAACGACTACAACATCAATGCATGGGTAGTTGTTTCATTGCCTAATTTTGACTACTTCCAAGCACACGCAAGTCCCTATAAAAAATCCTATGCCTTTTTATTTTCCAGATTTTACAATGCCTTTGGTTTCGAGGGATTTCACTTATGGTATGCCAACTGCGATGATGGCAGGATAACAGAGTAACACTTCAACATATGCAGAAAATAATGCAACAATAATGGTCGAGCGACGCAACCTGGAGGGATTGCGTTTTCTCTCCCAAACGTGTTTCCCTAACAACAAATTCCATTATGTCCATAAAACAACCTGGAGCCTTTGGGATTTAAGAAAGACCCAATGAGTTCGATTGAAAAATCCAAGCATAGGATTCTTTAGAAGAAATATACCTAGGGGATAGATCAATTAAAAGGCCTACCTATATTAGTGCTAAGATAGATCCGAGTTTAAAGAACCAGGTGATCCAACCGTTGAAAAACTATAAGGATTGCTTCGCACGGGACTATGATGAAATGTCAGTACTTAGTCGAGAGCTGGTGGAGTTTAGGTTGCCCATTCACTCAGGAAAGAAACCTGTCAAGAAGTTTCCAATGAGGTTTGTCCCATCAGTCATGTCAAAGATAATAAAAAAATTGAAAGACTACTAAGGAGAAAATTCATCAGAACAAGCAGTTATGTCGAATGGATTGCTAATATAGTTCATGTCAATAAAAAGAACGGGACATTAAGGGTATGCATAAATTTTAGAGACTTGAACAAAGCTACCCCTAAAGATGAATATCCCATGTCTGTCGTAGAAATGTTTGTTGACTCAACAGTAGGCCATGAATATCTAAGTATGCTAGATGGTTATTTTGGGTATAATCAAGCACATTAGGAACTTATGAGTGAGTGGTAATTCCCTTCGGGTTAAAAAAATGTTAGGGTAACGTATCAAACGACAATGAACATGATTTTCCATTATTTTATAGAGACCTTCATGCAGGTCTACATAGATGACATTGTCATCAAATCCTCACTCAAAGATGGTCACGTCGACCACCTTCGACAATCCTTTTAAAGAATGAGGAAATATGATTTAAAAATGAACCCTCTGAATGTGCCTTTTTTATTAGTGTAAGAGACTTTCTTGGATTCATAGTCCATAAGAAAGCGATTAAAATATATTAAAACAAGGCTAAGGTAATACTGGAAATGAGCCCCCCCCCCTCGGCCAAAAAGAAGTTGCAGTCGTTACTAGGAAAGATAAACTTTCTAAGAAGACTTATTTCCAACCTAAGTGGCAAAACCCAAGCATTTTCGCCACTACACCGACTAAAAGGTGAAGAAAAGTTCATATGGGAGTTGGAGAATAAAATGGCATTTGACGAGATAAAAGCCTATTTGACAAGATCTTCAGTCTTGATGCCTCATGCAAAAAGGAAGCCAATGAAACTATACAATGCATAATTACATAGAATTAAAACCTTGGGACTTGTATTTTGATGGTTATAATCATAGAGAAGGAACTAGGATTGGAATCTTAATAGTCTCACCTAAATGAATCTCAACCAGGTTCAAGTTTAGAATTGGGGATCATTGTTCTAACAGTGAGGCTGAGTATGAAGCACTGATAGCAGGCATGTAAATTCTATTTGACTTAGGGGTAAAGAGAGTCCTAATCAGAGGTTACTCAGAGCTAGGATTAAACTCCTAAGGTTTGTGTCTTAATATGCTTAGGAAAATGGATATGTCGAAGCGGCCAACAAAATAATAATCTGTTTGATTAAAAAACATGTGTTCCGAAAACCTAAGAGGTGGCACAAAATGTTAGACCAAACATTGCGGACTTGTCTAACTTAAGAAAAAAATGCAACTCCTTTTCGACTAAGGTTTGGGCACAATGCAGTTTTGCCTATGGAAATATACTTGCAGTCAACAAGAATTCAAAGGAAAAATGAAATACCTTCTTATGACTTCTGGGCTATGATGTTAGACGAGTTGGTCGACCTGGACGAGGAAAGAATAACTGCATTGGATATGCTCATAAGACAAAAGGAACAGGTAGATAAAACTTACAATAAGAAGGTAAAACCTAAAACATACTTAGTTGGCGACTTGGTATGGAAGGTCATATTGCCTATGGAAAAAAAAGGATAGAGTCTTAGGCAAGTGGTCACCTAACTGAGAGGATTTGTTTCAAATCACCCAGACATTTTCAAACAATACCTATGAGATCGAAGAAACCAACCCAGAGCGCCGAACCTTGACGATAAATGGGAAGTACCTAAAAGGGTACAAACCTATGTTTCAGGAAATTCG